GGTCACGGGTGCTGGCAAAACGTTAGGAAACAAAACTTCCAGAACACGGCCACACAGCCCAGAAGACCCACACCTGCCATCATTAAGGTTGTTTCATTGATTGGAAAAGATCGCTGTATATACCTATACCAAAGAAGGAGATACAAGTTACTGACCCATTCCAGGAATTTTTCACAGAAGCAAAGGTCATCTTACAGATAAGAATAAAACCCTACATGCTAGCTGAACAAGCTGGTTTCAGAAGAGGCAGAGGAACATGAGATCAATAGGGAGAGCAAGAGAATAGTATGAGGAGGTTTTCCTTTGTTTTATTAAGTATGGTATGGATCACGACAGAATGTGAAACATATTAAGGGTAATAGATGTGCTATACCACCTGATTATTCTTCTAACAAACTTTTGCAATGAGTAAGTTACAATAAGAATTGAACTTGAAACAGAATGATTCAGAATAGGTAGGGGAATGAGACAAAGATACATTCATCCTCATATATGTTTACATTTGCTCCATAAGAATGGAAGAATTATAAAGAATTTGAGGTGGTGACAGGTGAAACAATGATATGCAGATGAGCTCACTGCAAAGGTGAACATAGAAAATGAAAAATTCGGGTTAATGATAAATATTAATAAGAGAAAAGTAACATTTTAGTAAGCTTGCATTTGATTCCAAAGAAGTGAGGGTAGTATATAGTTTTATATTCTTGAGGTCACGAATAAATAAATATGAACAGGGTGTTTGGAAAAGCAAAGAGGAGAGTAATGCTAGGGAGGAACACCATGATAAACTTATACCCGGTCATGAAGGATGAGGCCATTTCAGTAAAAACAAAGATTTAAAAATAGTCTGTGTATAGAGTAAGAGAAAAAAGGCAGGCTGTGCAGCTGTGAAAGAGCAAGAGAAAAAAGACAGGCAGATAGGTATGAGGTACAGATCTAGAGATGGTTAATGACTGAACCCTTGAGGCAATGATCAGCAAACAGAAGCTCAGTTAATTTGGGCATGCAATGTTAGGGGACAATGGACTAGGGGAAAAAATAATTTTGCATACAGTTTCTTTGCCTATTGATCTGATCTCTTCCATCCCTATTGAACAGGCACAAGTACTTTTGTTGTTTTTTCAGACTCACCACTCTTTTGACACCCAACGTTGTGTTTGTCATTAAATCATGTGTCACATCACTCTGTAGAGTGCTACATACAGCTCTATCTCTCTGCCCACTCTGTCATTTTGGTATAAATACATAGTTCATGCCCTAATCACTTTCTGGGTTGATTGTAGCTAAACTATCCACGTTTTGTTACCCTATTCTGAATTCATAAAATAACTAAGTTGGAAAGGGCCATTTTTTGGACATTGAGTCTAAATTCCTGCTCAATGCAGGAATCCAAATTAAAGCATTCCAGACAGAAGGCTGTTTAACCTCTGTGTAAACGTATCAGTTGAAGGGGAACCAAACACCTGTGTAATTGGTTCTGCTGTTCAATTGATCCTAATGATTCTTCTTAAATTCTTAAACTATTTCCTTATTTGTTCCAGTTTCTAATGAAACGGTAAACTTGTTTTTCTCCTACTTACCATACAATTACTTTATTATTTTATTATTGCATTTATAGCCCACTTTAAGGTTCTCTTCCCACTTTATTCCTGGATCTATTAAAAATAGCTGTGGGTAATAGCCATGATAGCTAAACGGAACCTGAAGTTTCAGATGTGGCATTCCTCAGATTCCAGGTGGGAGTGATAGCAAGGGAAATACTGCTGTCTTAAGGAATATCTTGTAGAAGGTAAAAGAAGAGATACAAAAGACACTCTGCTGCCCAATATTAAAAACAAAACCAACCAACCAACCAACCAAAACAAACTAAGATAAGATCAATTGGCAATGCTAACTCAGTGCAAATAGGTAAAGAAAGAATAACAGATTGGACCCTCCGAGGCTCAAACTTTCACAGAGAAGGTGACTACAACTACAAAATAAAAACATGTCTGCTGTTTGGGAGAAAGATTATGACAGGCTTAGACAAAATATTAAAGAGCAAAGACATCACACTGATGTCAACACAAAAGCTGAACAACACAAAACAAGTGCCTTTGAGTTGTGGGGCTGAAAAAAATGTTGAGAATAACTTGAAACAGAAGAAAAGAAGAACAAATAATTCAACTATATGAAGTAAAACTAGACTGCTCACTGGAAATACTAACACTGAAACTTAAATATTTTGGACACATAATATAAAGAACACATATTAGGAGTTTTTTTTAAAAAAAGGTATTAAGTACAATATACTGTAAAAAATTAGAAATAGTGGGGTGTTCTCCAAATGTTTGGGATTGCAATTTCCACAGCCTGTGCTATTGGCTATACTGACTAGGCTGATGGGACTGCAAAACAAAGGGTGCCAAGTTGCCTGTCCTTATGAAGGAGGGCTAATTACAATAGCATAGCAAGTTAACTAAACAGGTGTTCATCCCCAGAAAAGAAAGCATTGATAATAATAAAGGTTGAAAGGTCATTATAAAAGATGACATCAGTGATACATAAATTATTTTTATACTATAGGTTTAAAATATCTAACAATTAATTTTTGTATGTACATTACTCCTACAGAACTTTGATTCTTGGTAAAATCAAGAGTTTTAACAATGCAATTCAACATTTATATTTTAAGTATACTTGTATTTATTTATCCATCCATCCATCTAATTTATATGGTTGCCCATCTCAGCAAGTGACTCTGGGTGGCAAATAGAATTAAAATAAAATAAAACAATAACAAACATTATAAAAATTAAAAATACAGGCAGCTGAGAAATAGTAACCCAAATCACTAACACAACCAAGAAGAGGACCCTTGCACACACTTGGGGCCCCAGGCCCAGGCCTTTAGGGCCTTATGAAAGGCCAGCAGAGTTAGGGCCATTCTGATTTCTGAAAGGAGAATGTTCCATAAGGTGGGCACTACAGCAGAAAAGGCATGCCTTCTAGGTCCCGCAAACTGGCATTCTTTGGCCAATGGGACCTGAAGAATGCCCATCCTGCCTGACCAGATTGGATGGGTAGAAATAACTGGGGAGAGATGGTGTCTCAAGTAACATGGTCCTAAGCCATGAAGGGCTTTAAAGGTGACAACCAACACCTTGAATTGCACCTGGAAGCACACTGGCAACCAATGCAGCTCACAGAGTCATGGTGTTACATGCGCTATTTACTACCCAGGTTGCCACATTCTGCACCTATTGAAGCTTCCAAATGCTCTTCAAAGGCAGTCCCATGTAGAGTGTGTTGCAGTAATCCAGATGAGAGGTCACAAGGGCATAAGTGACAGTGAGCAGGGCCTCCCAGTCCAGGAATGGGTGTAGCTGGTGCATAATTCAAAGGTATACAAAGGCCCTCCTAGCCTCGGCTGCCACCTGCCCTTTGAGAAGGAGCCATGAGACCCCCACATTACGCACCAGATCTGTCTGAGGTAGTGCCACCCCATCCAGGACCAAAGTTGAAAGGTCCCCAGCACCAGAAGGTCCAAACACCCAAAGCCACTCAGTTTTGCTTGGGTTGAGCCAAAGACTGTTGCACCCCCACAGCCTCCAGACACTGGGATAGGATGTCCATGGCATCGCACAGATGGCCTGGGGTAGAGATATAAAGCTGGGTACCTTCAACATATTGGTGATACCTCATCCCAAACCACTGGATGACTTCATCCAGTAGCCTCATGTAGTTGTTAAAGAGGCGGGGAGAAAGGACCAAACCCAGCGGCACCCCACAAAGTAGGGGCTGAGGACTGGACCCCTCCCCCCATCAA